AAAAATTGAAGAAAAAAAAAAAAAACATAAACTGTCATGCGAACATGTCAATTCGCTTCGGTTAAGGAGATATAAAAAAAAATATTTAACCGGTAAAATGCGCGTATTTTTGAAAAGCTTATCGGATTAGTTAAATAGCAATCGGAAAAAACAAGCATTATTGTATATTTAAAGTATCGCGAGCGACTTCGAAAGGTATAAAAAAAATGACACACATACATTTACACACACACACAATGTAGAAACAGAATATACGCCTAGGTTTCGATTACGCATATTATTTTCGCTCACAATGCGACGGTAAAATTCCTTCTGGGACTCACGCCATCCCTTTCCACAGTAACTTGATCGGGAGACTGGACTGTGTGATTGGTATCAGCATTTGATAAAAAAAAACAAAACAAAAATGTCATATTTTCCAAGGAGGTAACCAGATTAATAAGTTGTTACAGAATTGGGATGTCTACTTTTACAATTTCCTGTAGCTTTTTATTTAAACCAGCAAATTTGTTTCCTATCAATACCAAGTTCAACTCGAAAAGCCGATACCACATTGCTCCGATATTCAACTCAGATTTTTTTTTCTACTGTGAAATCCGATGGTGTGGTTTGAGGAAATAATTTTCTATTTAACTTGTGTACGTCTACGGTATTGTAATTCATATTTTTTGTTCGTTTGGATACTCACAAAACCGCCCTGCCAAATGATCTCAATCCCCGCGTCAGTGTTGGCAGTCGTCGGTTACACGCAAAACAGCTCTGCCAAATTTTTTTTTCTCTATCATTTAAAATCTCCGCGTAGGGAGTAAAAGTTAGTAATTCCTTATATTTAAAAGTAAGTAAAAATGGTAACGCTGGTAATTTGGGAAAAAGTCGGTGATGACATAGTTAGGCATAAAAGAAGACATTATAGTGAAAGCGAATGGGGTTTTACGTAACATTAGAGAATTTAGGAAAAAATTTTGAGAGCGTTAGACGGTTTTAAACTTAAATATTTGGCAAAAACTAACGAATACCCGTCGTCAATTAGGTAATTGGACTCACCATATTTGAAATTGGTTGGAAAGAAAAAAAAATGACAAATTCAATCTCACTATGGTACCTTCTTATCTGTAAAACCTTACGTGTGCACTGTGGATGTAACGTCCTGATGGCTGCGATTGACTCGTTCCGTTGTAGATAATCAAATTGAGAACGCGTTTAGTAAGATATGTATACAATTTAATAGATAACGTTCGTTTAGCGGCCGCCTTTCGACACATCATCTTTATCGTGATCATTCCAGTTTGGTTGACTGAATGAAATTCAGATGTGTGCAATTTTCGATACAGTTCCGAATTCGTTTGACAAAAAATTGAATTTTCATTGCATGGAATTTTACGGCTATGCATGGGTATTATATTCTTTTTATTAGATTTTTTGTAATACTATAAAAAACTATACGAATCGAGAGGTGTTAGATTTTTTCCGTGTAAATAAAAAAAGCAATCCTTTTCGTTTGCCTGTTTTTCGCGCACTCGATGACAATTTATCATCTATGTAAAAAATTTGTTCGACGCATATATTCATATTAGAGCTATTTATAATTATTAACTTCGTGGAAGCCTCTGTATCACACTCACACTACAAAAAACTTTTTACATGAAGAGAAAAATCACAACAATCCGGTATTTTTTCACGTGTTTTTAACTAAACGTTGCGCGTTTTTAAGTGCCAGTGAAGAACGAAGTTTTTATTGTAATTAATTTATAATCAATTTGACGTGGTAATCTTTTTTGTTTTTTTTTTTTTTTTAATTTTACTACTACTATCGAGATAATTTGTAGTAGATACGTAAAAGCGAATCGTCTTTTTGATTGAATAAGTACTTAAAATATCTATTAAGTTGATACATATATTTTTCATTTTAAAGTAAACTTTGTTGAATATTTTTACTTGTGTCCACTTAATGAATCGAGTGAACCCATTGTTTATCATATCGAAAATTGTTTAATGAATTTCAAATAAATTTATTATATTCTTTAAGTCGTAAACCGAATATGATTTCAGATGTAAGAATTTGTACATAATAAAAAACGTTGTATCACGATATCAAATCGGATGATTTTTTTTCCATCTCTTTTTACTAGTATACTCAGATGTAATACTATGTATTTCAAAAATTAATGTTTTAAAAGTTTTATTCATTACTTTTCGATCGGTAAGATAAAAAAGGTTTTTCGCTGGAGACATTGATTTTAACGTAGTTGAACGAGATATTTTTTCAACTACATTAAATTCAGTTAGTCTGTAACTTGGAAACAAAAAATAGACAATGTCAACACTTGTGAAAAAAAACCATACAGCTTGTCGAACAGCGTATCTAGAAAATGTGTCACAATTGAGAAAAAAATTAATAAAAGTAGATTAAAAATCTATTTTCTCTACACAAACACGGCGTAAAGGTTTTAGAAAACGTAAAAAAAAAAATTTAAGTAGTTGCCACACGGAAGTTTGATGTTCCCTCGAAAAAAACTCAAAGCGGTATTTTTGTATAAAATGAAATGAGATAACTATATCATTAGAACTGAATATGTAATTTTTTTACCTAAATGAAAAATTGAGAAAATCGTATTAAAATCATGGCTTATTTTTGAACTAAGTATATACATAAAGCACCTTTTTTCGAGGGCAACAATCAATTTTCGTGGTAATGAGGTCATTTATCGGAGCAAAAAAAAAATATTTAACTATAAAAACTGAAATTTTTAACTATGAAACCGAAATGAGAAAAATGACAAGATAAGAAATGAAAACTCACTGCCAAAATGTGATACTCGTGAAAGAAGCTCACCTTACGTGTAGTCCGGGTAATACGATGCGAAAACAAGTCACGTTGAAAATATTGTACATTTGACGTAACTTGCGTTTGTTTCGAAATCAATAAAATAATCAACTTGCTCTTAATATATACATACCTCCAGAAAAAAAATTTTCCGAGTTAGGAAAGTTGTGCAAAAAGAAAGTAAAGCGTTATTTTTAAATAAAAGTAGCGGTTTTTCACGAGACTATGAAGTAAAGAAAAAAAAGAAAAACAAAAAAAAAAAACAAAAAAAAAAACAAAGAAAAATTGAAACAAAAATGTTGTGACAATGTAATATTTTAAGGGTTCTTCTATGTATCGTTTACGTGTACAGTGCCTTTATAACTTAAATGCACATATATTATTACAAAGCAAGTCGCAACGACTTCTGTCTCTAGATTTTAAAGGTTTGACGTAATAAAAATGTGTATGGTTGTCAAAAAATTAGGATAAAGACAGTAAAGAGTTGTAAAGCAATAATTATATTTGTCGTGACACGATGAACTGTGTGTATGGAAAGGCTTGAGCGAGTGATGATTTTCGATTTGATGAAATTTCCTGAAAATTGCGTGTTTTTCTTTAAAGAAATTTTATACCAAAGAAATGAAAAAAAAAAAAAAAAAAAAAAAAAAAAAAAAAAAAAAAAAAAAAAAAAAAAAAAAAAATTTACACAATAATAAACGAACCTTTAAAATCGCCCATAAAAAACAGTAGTCGTTGTAACTTTGCTCTGTGTCGGTATGTAATTTATAGGGAACTTATATAGTGTAATTATTAGCGCCATCATCGAGGACGAAAAAAAAGTATATATTGTAAAACTGTACAGTTCGAGAAGATGTTCGTCGCCTGCTGGAGGATAGCGTAAAGATGTGTCGCCCTTCCTCCTTCAAAAGGCAATTCTTGTAGCTAGCTCTAATTATTATGATCATCACGGATTCTTTAATGGCGTCGAATCATCCATTACGATTTATTGAATAATATTGTGTTTTAATATACAGTTACGCTGACGAACGTTGTCTCTTTTCTTTCATTCCCCTAAAAACTTGATGAAAAGATTATTCTTGCTGAAAAAAGGTGGAATCAGAATGCACGATACAGATGAACATGTATGTATAACAACCTTTTATTATCATTATCATGACACTGTATTTTGGGCCGCCAGCAGCTCTTTTGTATTTTTTCTAATATTCATACAATGGAACATTTATTGGTTTCATTAAATTGAAATAAAAAATATGGACGCTAGAGTTATTTTAAAATATATGACACATATGTGAATAATCTTTCATATAGTGGGCCATTTACACACTTATTTATATGTTCTCGTGTAAGATTGTCAATTATAAATAATCTCATAATTCTAACATTACTCTTACGCGTTATGATTCCTATGATACAATATTATATTAGTGAACTATCGTATGTATTATTCTATGCTTATAGCGAGGAAATCTTGTTTGTCGTACCAACCTAAGCTACGGTTTCTTCACTTGTTGTCGTAAATTCTCTTGAGTAAAAAAAAATTAAATTTAGGTACGGATAAAACTAACAGCGCATTTTAACAATCAGATCGGTTTGGTCACTACTACCATCGTACGGCTTAACAATCACTCACCTCATCCACTGTTCATATGTACACGAAAAAAAAAAAAAAAAAAAAAAATACAATCAACTACCGTACGGCACCCCTCGCGTGTATTACATTATTCTCGAAAAATCACAATTCGACAGCCTTGGTGTCGGACATCACCGTAGATCAGTCGCGCAGATGCTTGCGCCTCGCCTGAACGACTCCGTACACGATAGCAGCCAACGAACGGCAGTGGCTGCGATCCCGTGAACTGCCCTCTGGTCGCATCGTGCCTTTTCCAAGCACGAAATACGTCTCCATGGTGCCTTTTCCCTTGACCTCGATCAGTCCGCGCTTTTGGGTCTTGTAGCCACGGGATTCCAGGTACTGCGCGTCCATGGGAATCACATAACAAATTAAATTTTTTTTTTTTATACACGTATAGGAGACTAACAAACTCCAAGCATGCATGTTCACCTTGGCAATTTCCGAGGGCACCTGAATCTTGCCCATGACACCAGTCGAGTCCATGCGTGAGGCTTCGTTCACCGTGTTACCCCAGATGTCGAAGACCGGCTTGCGAGCGCCGATAACACCGCCTACTAGGGGACCGCAGCTTATGCCCACCCGAAGATCGAAGTTGTTAAACGAGTGGACGTTCACGTCCTCGAGCCTCTGCCTCATTGCCACCGCGTAGTCGACGAGCCGGCACACGTGTTCCATGTCATCCGGACCTTTTAGCTGATTGGCACACGATCGACATGAAAATCGATTGACAATTAACATGTATTAAAAATTGTACTTATTACGTTTCGTGAAGGATTGAGTCCCGACGCTGCCATGTAGGTGGCACCGACGGTTTTGATCTTTTCGATGCAGTGGAATCGCCTCTCGTCCAGTAGTTCGTCAAAATCAGCTGATGGATGATTCGAAACAAAGAATAAATCACCTATCGATCGAAAAAAATCCAAGATAAGCATGTACGACTTACCGATTATCTCGTTCAGAAGGCGAATGCACTCCATCCCCTTGTTCACGTCCTCGGAGTAGAATTCCGTGAAATTCGGCACGCTGGCGAACATCACGCCCACCTTGTCCCTCGACTGCGAGTACAGCTCCTGAAATCGAGAAAAATTGCACATCATCGAGTCGTTGCTCTGTTGTATGTGTAGTTGAAAAATAATGATAATTCGTCCTCGGCGACCTCGGACGGCCTGTCTTGGCTCAAAAAGTGATGGGCCACGTGGTCCGGAAGGATATTCTTGAGCAGCTGCATGTTATTGTGCCTCGACTCTATCATATCGGACAGCTCGCGTTCTGCCTGCTGCTTCCACAGAAAATCCAGCCTCGAGGTGACCTCGACCAGTCTTCCGTGGTACGTAACAACGACGAGGAATATTACCAGGAATATCAACATTTGCGCCGACAGGGGTATGAACATCCTGCAATGGTACACATGAATGTTTTATCGCTTAGAGCTAAGTCGTCTACGTCAAACGAATAACAATACTAACGCGTTCTGATCATCGTCGACACGGTTGAAAAACCGATCCTTGGACACTACGAGGATGAGGAGCGCGTAGACGACGACGATCAGCGAGCCCAGAGCCGTTTTCACCAAGTAGTAGAGCTTGAGCGACGAGGCCAGAGCTATGAGGCACAGGATCCACGTGAAGACAATGTACTCGGGCCTTAGGCACTGCACCTCCTCGAGTATCTTTCTCTCGGCGATCAGATCGATACTGACGTCCTCGTCGATGCTCGACAGTAACCGTCGCGCCATCGTCATCGGCTCGGCCAGACGATGATGCTGCGAGTGGTGTCCGCGTAACGAGCGTCCCCTCTGGTGGCGCAATCGCACCGGCGACGCCAAATCAAAATTGTGGAATCGATGATGACTCCTATGACTTCTCGGCCGATCGGCAGATGCGATGTCGTTGTGGTTTTCAGGCGCGAGATCGTTAACCCCTGCGTCGCGCAGAGCGCTCTCGAGAAAGCTCAGGTTGTGCTTGTTGGAGCCCACTGGCTCTTGGGTCGTTGGTGCCGTCAAGCTACTCTGCCTCTGAAGAGCCAACGGTTCCACCCTCACCTGCGAGCCCAGAGAAAAATCGATCGTACGACTGTCGGCATGTATCTATATTACCTGTTGATCGGCCAAGAGGGTGTACCGTAGGACAGGCGATGGCCCCGATCACCGAAGTCAACGCCATCAGGCTGATAACCCCGCAGATGAATAAAGTCCGGTGCTGCTTGTTGTGCACTAGACTGGACGAGGAGTGCTGCAGGCAGACCGGTAGGCTCTTGAACTCGTCGGCCATCACGAGGACCGACGAGGCTATGAGCAGCAACGTTGTCAGGGTAAGCGCCGCGTGGAGTTTGATGCAGCTGCGATATAATTCATTTTCAACGCGTTAATTTTTTCAAGATCGGTATGTAAGTATATACTCACTCGGGCAGGATGATCGCCTGGCAGACGGCTATGAAGAGCCAGATGACGAAGCAGCAGATCATGTTTGACTTGAACATGTCCTCGCGAAGTTGGCGGAACTAAAAGCGAACAACGACATTGTAAATCTAACCGTGGGGAGTCAAAGGCACGGGTGATCGGTAAAGTTACTCGCCTTGGACTCGAGCGCCTCGTCGTTGTAGCGCAGCGTCCACGGGTTGATGTTGGCGAGTCGCATGCGCTTGTTGCTCGCGAACTCGATGCCACCCACTCCCGACCTGTTTGCCTTCTCGTTGGCCGAGGAGCGAGTCATCTGCTCACTCTTGGCCGACACCGAGTCGTCCTCCAGGTAATCCGATTCCAAGTTCGTCACCGACGACGAGCTGTTCAGCTGCAAAAGGAACATACGATAATACACGTGTCTATACTGTTGCGATCACCAGTGGCGTCTTACTTACGTTTTCGAAGGGTATCTCGGGCGTCCACTCGACGCCGATGTCGTCCTCGGTGTTTGTCGCGTTGGCAGCAGTCGCGGCCGAGGCGATCGCGTGAGCTGTCGCCGGGTTGCCGGCAGTGAGCGCGTGTGCGATCTTGAAGCTCTTCTTGGTGCGGTTCGCCTCGGGCTGCTCGCCTTCGGCCCAAATCTTCGGCCTCGAGGAGTACCGGCGGCGCGAGCGCAGTGGCTCCACCTGCTTGATCAGGTAGGTCACGACGTCGCGGTCCCTGAGGTAGTTGTCGCGCTCGGTGCCGTGGCCCGGCTCCACCTCGTAGACGTCGTTCAGGCACCTGAGCGTGTCCTCGGAAATGTGGACTCGCCTGGATCGAACAGCCGATTTTACAAACGTGTACACATGTTGTGTGATAATACCGATCGTTTCGGTTCGAGAGGAATCCTCACCCGGGAATACCACCGCTTTCGAGATGGTTGGCCAGCGTGACGTCGTAGGACCAAACGTCGAATTGCCACTTGCGGAGGCCAAGGACACCGCAGAGGACCGATCCGCTGTGTATGCCGATCCTCATGTTCAGATCGGTCTTGGTCGTGTACCTGACGTCCCGGATGGCCTTAATCATGTGCAGGCCCATTTCGACGCAGCAGTGCGCGTGATCCGAACGAGCGACCGGCAAGCCGCAGATGCAGTAGTAACAGTCGCCCAACAGTTTTATGCGCAGACAGTGGTTTTCGGCCGAGAGCTTGTCGAACCGAGCAAACAGGTCGTTCAGCACCTTGACGAGCTCTTGGGCGCTACACTGGCTCGCCAGGGCTAGTAAAAATATCATTTTTATCAATCAACTTTTTCTTTCGTTTTTTTTACTCGCGAAACGAACCCGTGAATCCTTTGATGTCGGCAAAGAGTATGCTGACGTTCTCGTAGCGGTGGATGTATATCCGGTGAAATTGGTTCGGCGTGAAAGAGATGGTGCCTCCGCGGGCTGTCTCTCGAGCAATGTCCCTTATCATTTCTTTGGCCACGAAATCCGGCAGTACTGAAATTATTGCGAATGGCAATCCATTGGGCAACAGGTGTGCCGATTATTGTGCGCGCGAAACAAGTAGAGCACGACCGAGAGCTCAAATTGAATTTTTTTTCATCCCTGAATATTTCGTAACTTGTGTGCATCGGTAGAAAAATGAAAAGGTGCACCCAAATGATATATCCATTCGAGAGAAACAAATGAAATAAAAATGCATCGTGGCGTATAAATATATTCCCACCGAGAGTTCCTATACAGTGATGTACATCGCGCCGTCGTCTATTTTCGCGCCAGCATCGCTATGGTTGTATCCAACATGGGGTGTGTGCATGTGTGTATATAGATCGATACAGAGCCGAGGCCTCTCTCGCTCTCTATAGGCACATTATATGATGGGCACAGAGAGGGAGAGAGTAAAAAATCGAAAGAGCCACCGACGGTGAGTATAATATCGTGGAGGAAGAAGAAGAACGGCTGATACGTGGCACTTGTGTGCATGTGCCAATAACGCGCAGTGCCACAGTGTATATTATAGAAAAAGAAAAAAAGAGGAAAAGAAAAAAAAAAAAAAAAGGAAAAACAGTAGGTAGCCGCTTCGTGGTTGCTGCAAGGATAAGGGAGTGTACAGAGAGTAGAAACAGGGGCGGGGGGGAGGTGCAGAAGCACACATAAACGACACATAGACGCGCGTGCAATCGACTGAGAATGTCCAGTGACCCTCTCTTGAAAATACACTCTCGGCAATATATATATATATGCACGGCTGAGCGAGCACTTCGCGCACGGCCCAATGCCTCCAAGTGCCATACATATATATAAACTCGAGGGTGATGTATGCGTGTCTCATCCAAGCACACACTTTGTTCAACGAACAGCCGATCGCAGCCCTTATCGTATGTACGTACATACCTATACTCTTTTGCCCCTATATAGCCGGTGCTTCCTCTTCTATTATTATTTTATGGGCTCTGTTTACCTATATTATAGGTATATACACAGTTGAACGAGAGAGACATGTGTACACACGTATCCTCGGGCTCTAATGTTTCTGTTTAAATTTTCATCCTCCGTCGGATCCGTTTATCGTACCCCCCTGTTGCTTCCGCGGATGCGATACGACGATCAAAGATAAACAAACGCGTCCGCAACGACGCCGATGTCACACGCGTGTCTTATCTATAATATACATCGAAACGTCCCCGTCTCTCTCTCTCTCTCTCCCTATACTTTTATTTATACGCGTTCCTCTTTTATTACCGCGGAGACAGCGGTGTACGCGCCCCATCGATCATCGTTTGCGTACGAGAGCCCGCAGAAAGGAAAACAGAGAGTCAAAGTATGTCTATACGTATAGATATATATGTCCATACAAATAGAAAAAGGGATAAAATTGAGGAAGACGCGGCACGCGCTTCTGTGTGCTTTAAATAAACGCTGCAACGTGACGACGTTCATCTCCCCATCCCCCTTCTCCCGCGCGATCGACAGCTGCAGCAGTTTTGACGTTTGTCCTTAATTTTTTTCTCCATCTCTAATTGCCACGGTACCAGTAGTGGTGTAAGTATGTATACGCAGCGCTTTTTCAATATTTCACGGGTCAACTCTTGTCACGCGACATGGTACAACAAAAAAAAACACTTACCGGAGAGCAGCAGCTTTTCTTGCCGATTGTTCTCGTTCTGCGTGTGCTGTCGCGTCTCCGTCGAGCGGTGCGTCTCGAGGAAGGCCTGCCTCTGGCCCCGATCGGTCAAGTACTTGGTATACATGCCCGCGAGATTCACCCCGAAGTTCAGAAGCAAGTTCGTCGCCATCATTCGCGACACGCAAGACAGGTCCTGAAATGTCGTCCTTATTTTTATTTAATGTTTTTTTTTTTTTTTTTTTTTTTTCACCCCCCTCCTCTCGACGAGAAGATCGCGATCCTAATCGCGATGGGAGAGCGAAAAAAGCCAGTCTATGTACACGGAGCGACGGGAAAAGCTTGACTTTTTTTTTGTCATAATTGGTTCCGACGCCAGAAAATCAAACAACACGTCACGGGTAGAATAAGAGAACAAAATTCCCTGGGAAGCGCCTCCGATCAAAAGNAAAACGAAAAAAAAAAAAAAAAAAAAAAAAAAAAAGGTAAATCGTGCGGCAAGAGCAAACCTCGTGATGCCTCGTGTCGCTGAGCAGAGTGACGACGGCTATCAACAGGTGGGTGAACGCGGTCCCGAAGCCGGCCAGGACGCACCACCTCAACGGCAACGGGAGCATGGCGTACGGCGCGTAAACCACGAACAGTATGTACCACATGAGCCGCTGCTGCGTCAGGAAGTTCAGACCCGCGACGATGAAACCTGCAAGATTCAGGGCAAAAATTTTTTAAATGGCTGTGCTATTGCAACAGTGGGTAAAATGGATTTCGATAATCATTTTTTATTTTTATTATTTTATAAAAAGTATAGACGTAAAAACGGAACACGTGTAAAGGGACAGGGGGGGGGGGAAGAAGGACGGCCGCTCGCTCGTGTCCGATTCAATTAACGCGGAGGCCTCGCTCGAGAGCTCCCGCTCGCTTCGACAAAGTTAAATGCGGCACACTGTAACCCTGTCCCTGTGGATATACGACAGAGAGTATCGTCGCTCGCCCACGTGTTTGTGGGGTATTTTGAGGTGGTTCGGCACCGGTGCGCACTATATCCGCGAGACTCTACCCATGCGTGCACACAACGCTTGGACAAGGGGGGAAAAAAAAACAACAAAATTGTAGTGGCACAGATATGATTGATTCGAGGGGTGTTTTTTTCCTATGGGACAAAAAAAAAAGTTAAAAGTTTGGTAATGAGCTACTTTGGGTATACGTAAGTGGGATGGGGCTCAAAGCCGAATAATTAGGTTTTTCGGGTTTTGAAAAATGACGGGTGTTGTAGATTGGTGAAAATTCACGGATGATCGATGAGGTTTTCCATACTATGTATTCCACCTCTCGTATAAGTAGGTACAAATAATCACCTTATTTTAATTTATAAATACATACCAATCGTGTACAGCTGTACTACACATTTATTTAAAATGAGCATTGAATATGTATACGCGAGTTAAGCAAGGGTGGCTCACCTTGCAAGTTGATGAGGAGCCACGTGAAAATGGAGGCCCAGTAGAGATGATTGTTGGTGAAACATCGGGACCAGCCGAGGGCGCAGACTATCACGTTGGCCAGCATACAACAGCCCGACCAGACCAGGGCCTCGACGAGGCCGCTCGTCGTCCTGTGAGGGTCGCGCCTCCACAGCCATACCGATATCAAGCTTATCTGTGTGTGTTTTTTTTATTTCCAAAGTAGATTAATTATCTTTTTTTTTTCTTTTTTGTTTTTTTTTTTTCTTTCATTGAGAAATTTTAGCCAAAACCTTGAGTCCGAGATCAATGATGTTCAGCATAATGAGTGACTTTTGCCGCTGGCGATGCGAGTATTGCAGGTACGAGTTCTCGAGGTGCTTGTTGTGGAAGCTGTTGGTCATCGACGGGAAAAATATCCCCTTGTACATCGTGCCCTTTTTAAATACATCTGTGCAAAGCGCGAGCGTACCATTTTACATGGATGTTGTTAAAATTATTTATGTTTTTCTTTTCTTTTTTCCAAAATAATAATAATACTAATAATACGGCTAAGTAAATTCGCTACGATGCAACCTACCATCAACAGCTACGAATAAAACAAACAGTTGCAAGTGGCTCGTCAAAAAGGGGCAAGTATGTAGGCAAGCAAGCGAGCAAAAAGTGGGGAAAAAAAATAAAACGCCTCACCCTCCGCGTCAGTGGCATTACCAGGATCATTGTCGGGAAAAACAACGTCCGTCTCGGCCGAGGCGTCCGAGGATTTTTTGGTGCGTTCGTCGAGCTCCTGGACCCCCTCCTCCGGCTGCTGGAGGGCCATGGCCGCCTTGCTCTCCTCCCAAACGGCCAGGCTCTCCCGGCCCAGGCGCTCCGACGTCAGCTTCTTCACCGCCTTGATCCATAATTGCTTGCGGGGCGATATACTCAACCTACGGTGTGCTTGTGCGTTATTGGGTGTCGCGACGCTCGGATCATTTGATGATGCATGCATATACACGCCAAGGAGATGTGATTCGATGTGATTGGTTGATTCATGCCCGCGCGTGATCTCTTTGACGCGTGCACAATACTCGGTGTAATTCATCACCCGCTACATCGAGGGTAAAAAAAAACAACAACAACAACAACGGATAAGTGTGCACCGTTTGCAAAAAGTGTTTTTTTTTGATAAAATGCACGATGAAGGTGAATGATTTTTTTTTTTTTTTTTTTTTTCGCCGCGAAAAAAATTGTTTGTAAGGTAAACAGGGCGTGATTTAATCATTGTCTACAAAGGAAAATCAATTTCCCGAAGGGGACGTGAAAAACTGTGCGGACGGCTTTGATCTCTATGGGAAGTAGGAAAAACAAAAAAGCCCATAAGTGCATTTACGTGCTTTGTTGTAGGTAAAGGCTGCTGCTGTGCATTTGCGCCCTTCTCAATTTGCAATACCAAGCTCTCGTCGGCTTTGTTCAATAATGTAACAAAAAAAACAAAAAAAAAAAAAAAGACGGGAGTGCACTTTGGTATATAATGATGCGCGATTTTCGTACTCATATCGAGTATCTCGGCTCTTGCAAATTAATTCGTGACGAGTGTATCCAAAGAATTTGGCAAAAGTAGTAATACTTGCTTACAATTATCATTAAATTTTGTTGCGATTTCAGATTAAAAAAAAGAAAATAAACAATTTTAACGCGTATCTCTGTATGTAGGCACCAATATATTAATTATTTACAAATCCAGCAAAACAAAAACTTTGGCGAACAGTTTCAACGGTCCACAGTAGTAGGTATACAGTTCAATAGATGCGTGTGTCTTGTACATACACACGAGCGCGATAAATGTCAAACATTCGGTCTCGCGAGTCACGATAATCGCCATCATCATTTTCTCGTTGTTTACTCGCGTCACGTGCAGTCATTTGTGAGGTAAAAAAAAAAAAAAAAATAAAAATAGAAGAAGCTCGTCATTGTATTTTAATTCCTTCGCTGCGAGTACGTATGAACTTCTCTTATGATTTTTTCGACTGCGAAAGATGTACAGCTACCATTGAAGAAGCAAACGTAAATTCGCTCACGAGCCAATCTAACTCGCATTAATCAACGATGCGTACAATCGCGCAGCGAAAGCATATCAAAGAGGTCCGCCGCTCGGACAAATGCGAAACGTCCAAAATGTCACTCGAGGCGGCTCTACCGCGCCAGTAAATACCGTGATGAATAACACTCGGCGAGGATTTTAATAAATGACACCCCCCGGGGATTAACGGCGTCGAGAGGATACTTTTGCACATATCGGTACATTTCAAACGGAAGTATACTCGAAACCGGCAAGTGCGCGCGCGTGATTGATGACCATTAAAATAGCGCGCGTATAACATAATATGTGGCGGTGGCGCGTTGTGTATTTTTAAAACCACGTGTAAGTACTAAACGCGCTTTTCGCACCCCCTTGCCCCCTCCAGCGCGAGAGCGATGGAAAGCCAAATATTTTCCCGGCATTGCTCGATGTTTGCATATATGCCACGAAAAAAAAGGGGGAGTCCCGGAAAGCTCGGTCTTTCCATCCCCGCGGCGCGTGTTTTCTTTATCTCGACTTTCCCTCTCTCTCTCTCTCTCCGTGAGACGATTTTCCCTTAAGCGCTCGGTTATTTATACAACCTTCGTTTGTAGCGGGAAATAAGCCGAAAAGTGTGTCCAAACGCGCGAGACTCGCTCTCGCCAAAAGTGATTATTGGTGCGCTCTTCCGCCTTGGGGGCATATTTTTATACACGGCGTCTCGATGTATTTTAAATAGTTACCGAAACTTTTTTTCCTTCCCTCCTAAAAACGCGTGTGCAAATGTAAAATACATCACGTCCGCTGTACAGGCGCCGGGGGAACGCGGAATTGCCAAAATAATCCACGCCCGCACCAACTCCTGCCAGATATATTATACTCGGTGATGGCTCGTATATACATCATTGGTGACGGCGATTGTGCATTCGGGGGAGTAGAGTATAGGGAGAAACGAGAAATCGCTCGAGAGGCGGATGACACGTCTCGGAAACAATGTTATACCTACACGCAATGTACCGGTGTATAACTATATGGAATGCGTTACTCATTTTTACACCTAAGTGTTGTATAAGGTATGATGCTTAGAAAAGAGGAAAAACGTGTGCAATTATGTATTACAAATAAACAAATAAAGGACGTATCGCGAGTGCCAAGAGCCGTAAGGGATGATTGTCCCGGTGCACCAAACTATTACTATGGTTGGAAAAAAAAAAAAAAAAAAAATCGAAAATCTGTTATCTCGCGTCTTTTTGGCACGCCTTGTCGAGCGAAGCTTGGAAGGTGCGCCAAAAGTCAGCACAGTCGAGCCGACGGAAGATCAACCAGAGCGGAAAACGGCCGAGAAAAAAAAAAAAAAAAAGGAAAAAGCTCGCTATTTTCGTTGGCGCGGAGAGTTGCAGCACGTGCAGGTAGAAATAAAAAAAAAAAAAAAAAAAAAAAAAAAAAAAAAAAAANCCACATCGCTGTCCAGCATCATGCTCCAAGTCTGTTCCGTAATCATATTATATATCCTCCAGTCGCCCCATCCGCCTCACATGTCTTCGTTTTCCGTTCCCTCCTCCTCCTCGACACTCTCTCGCGCTGATTTCTCCGCTACTTACCCGCTAATTGCCAGCCATGCAGCGAGACATACGACGAGTCTCGTTAGCTCCAAGGGCTCGGTTATTTATAAGGCGATGCTTCGAAGAAAGGAGATTTCATTGTTACGTTGCCTCGCGACTTTTTTTTTCCGCTGATTTGTGGACATGCCTTGGTCAGGGGGGAGCGGCTCTCGAGTAATTTTTTTTTTTTTTTTTTTTCCATGAAAATACGGGGCATTTGAATGACAAAAGTGTGCCACGTGCGATACGCGACGCCTGAAATATTTTACGCATTCGTCGAGCCAATCGCGCGCAATGTTGTTGCTGCCAACGGTCGCGTATACCTACCGCGTGCGATAAACATTTCGTTGCGCGATTCCGAACGCATGAGTTGTCCATTTGATCAACGCTCCGTTGAATTCGATGCGAATATCCGTCTGTTTTTTTTACCAACACGTATTGTATATGTATGCACGTCCCTCCGTATCCGAAGAGTTTGAGCAAACGCGTCGTTTTTATGATACAAAACCCGATAAATATTATTTATTCATTCGGTGCTTTGCAATTGCAGCACGGGCCGATCGTTACATTTAAACTTCGTGACCCCTCCCCCCTCCCCTCTGCCAATCCCAAGTGCTATATTGAGTAAACAATAACAATATTATCCTGACATGTATGTATGTGCGTATGGTCGATAGAAGGTATGTTTTTTATTTCTCTTCTCCATAAGCACTATGTAGCCGAGCATTAAACCGAATGACTCGTTGGTATTAATAAAGTATTCTGCGCTCGACTCGATTAATTTTTTTTCGAGAAAAGTGGCAATCCGACAGCGCTGTGATTTTACTTTGATTGATTCAATAAAAAACGTTAATTCTATACCTTTTCCCTGTATTTAAGTGCATTACGGTCATGTTTAAGATTATGTTGTACGTATAAGAGGGTCAATTATTTATACGAGTGTGGATTATTCACCGAACATTGTAAATATGGTGGCCTCGCATGGGTCTAGTTGAGATGCTTAGTTGTTAAACAGCGGCGGTTAAATAAAACAGGGCGTAGACCCGCTCACGGTGTATCTACAGAGTCGCGTCTGTCTACGAAATCGGTAACTTTTTATTGCGTTAGCGCGAATCTGCAGCTTACCGGTAAAGGAGATGGAAAAAAAATCGGATCGCGGAAAACGAAGTTTGGATAAAAACAAATTTCACAAGAACGCATCATCTCCCATTCGCCGAGAAGAAAGGAAAATACACACACGTACTCTATATTGTACTAGGGGTAAATGACCCAATTACTGCGCACTGAAATTTTTGATTGTACTAAATTTCTCATTTCTCAATGTTTTTCGATGTAAATTGAACCAGTTTTACTTAATCTTCATCTTCAGCATCTCGTGCGATTAAAACGACAAACATTTTTCTGTAAAGTAACTTTTTTTTTTGGTATTCCTGCGCACGGTTATAAAATTAGCACCAGTCGCTGCGCCCCCAATTGCTGCGCGGGTATCTCCCATAAGGTTTTCATGCTGAAGCCCTAGACCCAATTGCTGCGCACCAATCACTACGCACGACTACAAAGTTTTTAGATTAGATTCGTTTAGTCACTCAGTTAAACAATTACAAATGTCATGATGTAAAGTATGATTATGGATTGAACGTTATTAGTTGTCCGTACGTGTTACAATAATCCGAGCACCCAAATTTTTCAGTCTGTTTTTCTTATTTTCAGTTACCGTCGAGTGCGCAGTAATTGGGTCATTTACCCCTATATGTGCTGCGCTTTGGCTTTGATATGCAGCGCGCGCGCCGACGCGTGAGGCTTTTTTTAAAAGAGCGCGTCTTTTGGTGCCTTTTTTCCGCAGAGGGCCGTTTCCGCGAAAATTTTCCACGCAGCATTTTTTCCCCCATAGTACTTCAGTGCTTTTTCATACGTGTTTCGCTTATTTGTAAAAGAGACAAGCTTTCGAACGGGTTTCTTTTTTGTTTTACTCGGCAGTGTTTTTTGGGTCAATAAATCAAACATTGCAAGTTTTTGTAGAAGACGAAGAAAAAAAAAAAAAAAAAAATCGTTGTGGCGCGAAAAAACGCGGAACCTGTTCGATGTGGCTCGCGCGTTGGACTAATTGATGGATCTCGACAAAAGAAAACTCACACCAGCTGTATATGCAGTTTTTTTTCGGATTTCACGTGGAGAAGAAAAAAAAAAGGAAGAAATTAATCTGAAATTTATCAGCGATGTTGGAACGCACACACCCTATACATGCATATACGTGTTTTACTCGCAAGTTACATAAACGCGTCAAGATCGTCTCTCCTCGCGCGTCTTTGAAATTAATATTTATCCAATATTGTTATCAAAGTCGAGCTAATACTTTAGATTTCATTTCAAACGCGTTTTCATCAAAAGAATCTCATAATTAGTTTTATTTGCGAGCGAAACTTCT